GCGGGGCGGGGCGGGGTGTACAGACAGAAAATCAGGACTTAACAGAATACATCAAATGTCTCACATTCTAGCATAGTAGATCAGTAACAGACATTGGGGGGTGGGGTGGGGTGTGTGTGTGTGTGTATGTGTGTGTGTTGTTATATGGAAATTTATCAATTTAAAATGAATTTTGATGAAGTTGTAATTCTGATTACAAGGCCACATGCATGGAAAATCATCTTGAAAATTTTCCAACTTCCAAAGAAAACTGAAAGTCATAAATTTACAGTCAGTCAGGATGGGCATATAAATAGAATGAAATGTTTTACGAGTTGTATGGAATTATAATATCATACTTGGTAATTGGTACAGGCATACATCTTCTTCCACATGCTTCCATCAGATTATAGTATAAGACAACACTCACTGTCACAGCCTTCTCGGGCTAGCTGTTGTGTCGACAACAATTTATCGGCCCATAGTGTACATGGTGGTCGGTACTTATTTCTCAATGTTGCGAGGTGGTTTTGTGTCATGCACGAGGCTTACAAGACCAGCTTAGAGAATGAGGTCCAATATTGTGACGGAGGGTGGGAGGTGATTATGCCTCCCACCCTCAAATTGTAAAACTACGATTGCGGTATCAGGGACAGCGACACAGACAGTGTTTGACAAGAAATGGTTTTTGAGATGGTTCGAGTTGAAAAGACAGGCTCGGTAAAGACTTTGTGAGAAAATGGATCATATGATGGTTGGAGGGGAAGGGACTTTGGATGGACAGGGTTTGACAGTGGAATAGGTTTTTAACTCATTCACCCCTGAAATGTCATAATGAACTATTCCAACTTTTGAATAGGAAGATTTCAAATGTGTCTCCAGGGGTGAACGAGTTAAGATGGTTGGAGTAGAAATGATTCTGGGCTGAAAGGGATGGACCAAGAAAAGGGATTTTACGAAAAATGTGATAAATGTGTTGGAAGGGATCCAGGGTTCGAGTATGAGATGGTTGTAGAAGAAAAGACTCAGGGTTGAGGGGAATAGACTGAGGAAAGGGATTTAATGATAAATATGATAACTGGGGTAGAAGGGATCTTAAGGGACCCAGGGTTTGAGTATGAGATGCTTGCGAAAGAAAAGTGTCTGGGAGGAGATGGTTACCCAGTGGAAAAGGATCATAAGGGTAAGGGTATACAGACTTGGAGTAGAGAAAGAAGAATACAAATATAGGATGACTATGATAAAAAGAACTCAGGATGGCCATTGGAAAAGGATTACAAATTGACTGGGGTAAAATATTTTCTTTTTTGCTTGCGTTGCATAAATCTCTGATATGTAAGCATGTTTTATTTTGTTGATGTTGGCTACTTTTTGAGGGATGAATTACAATGAGCTTCGTCTGGGCACTCCCTGCACGGCCGTATACATCATGTGCTGACCAGTCCGTATTGATCGGGACTAAGACAAGGAACTGCGTCTTACCCGGCGCAACCGTCCCGCCTGCTGTGTACATGACAAAGTTTGAGAAATTCATAATAACATAGATCTGTTTGCCAGCCTGGCGTCAGACAGTGAACCAAAGTCGATTCCATTAGGCGGGGATTGACATACAGATGTACACAATCGCACTAACACAGGCTCGTACGCCACTGCAGGTGTCGCAGTACAATGTATTTATCAGGCCATTCCAAAGTTAAAACGTGCCAGAATACAACAAAATGTAACACTTTGCAAAGAATTTTACAACATTAATTAAAACGGTACTGGGACAGGTGTTTAAAAAGGTAAGGGTTTGATCGGGCAAATACGTTGCCAATATGAATGGAAATTCCATGGATACATGTGTTCAGTGTTAGGGTCATGGATAGAGAAATGTCTCCACAAGTTTTGTAGGGACAGTGTTTTCCCCCTTATTAGTTTGGGATGGGGACTTTTGGCAGTTCTCACTGTGGCAAGAAAATATACCAATTAGAAAGGAAACTATTCAGGAGTAAACCGCAAATTTTGTGAATTAGGCATAAATATGAAATAGATTCAATTGGTAATTGGGCACATTATCAGCCAAAGGAAGTCCCCAGAAAAAGCACTGAGGACCCAGCAACGGTGACAATGCCTGAATGGGCAGGGATGTACTGTGGGGAAAGGAAAACGAATCAACTGTTTGTGTGGGGACACAGTAAAATATTAGCCATAGGGGTAGGGATAGCCAATTGTATAATATTTAATGAGATAATCACTATCTAGGGCATAGTTTTTCATTCTTCAGGATTGTGTGTGAATTTGGACAGACAGTTATGTGTATTTAGAAGGGCTGTCAACATTTTGTAAAGGATGCCAATGAGAGGACATGTATTTTGTATTCTGTTTGTGTGGAGTGTGTTCTAAGCAAGGAAGAGCAAGAACTCAAACCCTACTAGCGGGGGATTTATGTACAATTTTTTGAATATCCGACATATTCCGGTATTCTGATGTCCCAGCAGTGGGGAACAGCGAACACACTAATTAGGTTGTAAACATGTTCTAATGTTTACAACCAGACTTCAGTGTGATGTCGGTCATGAACACGAAATATTTGGATGTCTTGAGACATATATGTAAACAGTTAAAATAAATACGTAAACCAAGTAATCCTCCGACGAAATTCGATATCTATAAATAAATATTAATATCCTCGTCTGATATTGGATTGAACTTTTAGAATAAATATTCCCATCTGACTGACGTCTGATACAAACACTTTTAAATATTCTCGTCCATTGTCAGGTATGAACTCTTTTGAAATATATAAACATCACTGAACATGTAGTACCCTCATTTTATGTTGGAAATCAACATCAAATATGTGATATCCTGGTGCGACGAGGTCAGATGTAAACACTAAACATACTCGTGATGTCCTTCTGCCAATGTAAACACAAAAACGCAATAACACTTCCCTTCGCGTACAACGCTGGACATTAAAACACATCCCATGCCTGATGTAGGCCGTGAACATTATATAAGCATCTGACGTAATCACGAAAAACAAAGAAAGATATTCTTACGTTTGAGTCGCATCGTCTGTTTGTAGTACTCCTGCTCCTGTTTTAACCAGTGTCCACGGTTGTTTAACAGTCGATCGTCCACCACACCAGAATCCATGTCCTCTAAGTTACGATTTTCTTGTCCCTCGTGAACCATGGGCACGGATTGTGTTTCTACCCGGGTATACGGATATATACGAATAATAACAAGCTGTAGTTGAGGTATGTAAATCCAAATGTCTGGGGCGATTCTCTTTTTTAAATGTATCCCAGAAATGGTCTGTTTGAAGGGAATTCACAATGTTTTTCTTGTTCTAATTTTATAATCTTTTCCAGGTTTGTATTCTACAAATTTAATTTTACGTCACTATAAAATCCACAGGTTCATTGACCATCCACGAAAATCATCATTAGTATTGCACAAATCCACAAAGTTAATTTTCGAAAAATAACCAGGGTTTTGAATATCCACATTACAGTAACAAATACCAATAATAACACAAATACGTTGATTGAAAATCACATTTCCTGTTGAGGCGATAACAGATAACAAAGAGTTCAACAGGCTCAGAATATAGTCATTGCAGATATCCCCACGAAACACGACCCTACTTAACAACAAAATAAACTCTACAACAAAACAACGACAAATCTGTCAGTTCTATATATATATATATTGCACGTTCTACACCAGGTTTAAAAACTTGTATAATGGGTTGTCCAGTTTTCATTCATATCATGACAGTAGAAAACTGTTTTGGCCCAATTCTTTATTGTTCATTTATGTGGCAAGTGTTTGGGCTAAAAGATTTGACAACAGTCGATAGTACATTTTAAGAATTTGGGATAACAAGCACCTACCAAAGACTGGGAGTCACCACAATTTCCATGTGTCACGAAACTTATGTTATATCCATGCACTCATGTCAAACATCCTGAACCTCACCCACAAGATATTCACAAACAGTCTAGGAAGCGACTAGTCTAATGATGTCCAGGCTCCGATCAGCTGTTAATGATGGCCAGCGACACAGCTGATTCCACTCAGCAGTCAGCTGATTGATAATTAACACCAGTCGAGATTTCGAAATCCAGAGCCTGTATGGGTTTTTGACAACTGACCAGACGCTCTAGATGGACATCACAGGTCCTGTGGACTGACGTGACCTTTGTACTACTGTACATTGGAGCACAACTCCCTCCAGCCATACATACGCGAAAACTGGTCGCTCAACTGAGAAACACTGTCCAGGGGCTTTTCCTCTTCTCAAAACTTTTATATAATCCACCTCTTGACTTCGTAGGTATGGGAGGAAATCTATCCCGAGAGAAAATATCTTGCCTGTCCCATTCCTGGTATGAGGTGGTCAGTGTAAGTGATGGGTGCGAGTGGTCAGATGTCCAGATGACCAGCCCAGGTGAAATCCTACATGGTAGACAGACAGTCCCTATCACAAAGTAGGGCACATACATATAGTGTACATAAAGCTAACATCCTTACTGGGCGGATCATACGCCTTCTAGCCTCCACTCGACTAGCTTCCACACAAGCATGCAGCCTGACAACTGTCTAACACAGCCTCTATAATTGGCTCATGGATGCAATGTGCCTCTGGGCTTTATTTATAATCCACCAATCAAATTTAACCTTACATCTGGGTCACGGTATTATGTTGACTGTCTGGTCAATATGTAATGAAGTCTACATACATACAGTGTGGGGCCCCCCAGGGGGGCTTTGTCACTGAATGACACGCTTTCACACCTTTTTGTGACCAATTAATCATTTACATAAGATTATACACATGTAGAACTTAGAAGAGTGGGGGACTACTCAGTGGCGGGTATGCTGACAACTACAGACACTTAGACGTATAGGACCAGCCCTCCTGTGCTGTCCTATATATACTCTCTAGGTGGCAGACAGCAGAGTGGGACCATGTAAACAAGTAGAGTTATCTCCTACATAAAACTCCTAACATTTATTCCTTTTATTTCTATTATTAATGTATGATAAATATATCTATATATAATAATTCATGCTGGGTTAAAAAAAAATAGACATGTGTCTTTATGTATACATGGAAAATCCTTGAATTTTAGAGCAGTGGGCCATTTTCAGCAATTTTTAGTCAATATCTAAATTAAGTGGGGCCATTCTATGTTAAATTAAAAGAAAACTGAAACATGGAGGGGTCAATTTCAGTTTTGAGGGGTCAATGGCCCCCCCTCCTGGATTATCCCTGTAATCATATAATCAAAATATTAAATATGTTCTCCCAATAATAATATAATATATTATAAAGAATGGAAAACTCTTATGAAATTTATTGAATTATTTTCTAACTTTTAAAAAAATCAAAAAGAAATCACACAAAATTATTTTTTGAATAATTTCAAAAGAAATAAAGCACAATCAAAACTTGCGCTTTTCATTTTCCTTTGATGAATTTTTAAACATTATAATACAAATTAACCAGTTAACTTGTGATGGTACCCCTTGTTGTACCCCTAAGGGGTAACATATCATATCAAGTCAGCTGATTGTTACCTACAGATCTACATACTAAGATATGTGTGGTATGGGAGTCGAGGGACCGAAATAACACAGGGAGGATGTGCCGTACAGTCCTCTCTATCAAAGATCAACATCAGCTGGAAGTGAAAGGGAGGGTCAGAACTCTTTATCACCTGCACAGGAAATGTTTTCTCTGTTCAGGTATGGCCTAACCAATTATAAAACCATTAGAGACTTCTTTAAATAATCTTTCACATAGTTTATTTTTAGTTTTTTTTTACCTCTCATTTTTTTTCTTTTTCTTTATAGAATAAGAATTACTCAGATGTAACTAAAATTACGAACAGCTAACAACAATAGAAGTTTTCTTGTTTTAAAGTACATTATTTAAGAATATTTTTCATTTAAGACTCACATTTTTTTTTAATTACCCAGGTACTGAAAATATTCTTCCTTCAAATTTAGCTGCAATTAATTTTCTCTTATGACCAGCCTCTAACCTTGTTGAATGCTTTCCTTCTTGACACCAAAAAATATTGTTGGAAAAAGAAAACGATCTACAACACCTCCCCAATAAAACATAAATACCACTTTTCTTTGTTTCCACTATTCTATTCAATTAATTATACATGATTTCAATAAGTAAATGAACAAGTTTTGAAAACAAATAAAATCTATATTTTCCCCAACACTTCATCATATATATGTCATCTGAGATAGAAATCAACGAAAAATCAATTCCAACAACAGTTTCAATTTTCAAATTTTATAACAATTACAAAACTGGTGCTTTTTTTTTTTTTTTTTTGGTTGGGGGTGCTGACTGTGTGTGTGTGTGTGTGTGTGTGGGGGGGGGGGGGGGGGGGCTGGGGGTGACACAGGCAAAGTTCAAAATGGAAAGGAAAGCCTGGAGGGAAAAACTGATTAGTTCATTCAAAATGATTTTGTTTTCATTTTTTGTCTACACTATGAAATGTGGCAGAATTAACCTTACCTTATAAAATATCTTTCCTGATACAAATTTAAATGTCAAACCAAAAGTTCTATCTCAGACTTAATCTGGAAAAACTTGAAAAGGAAAGAGAAGAAAAAAAAAATATACAATTTTTTTTTAGAGTGGACAACCTTACAAGTCTAATTTCGTATACATACCTTGCCTAAATATTAACTCACAATAATGAATCATTGGGTTTTTTCCCCACAGAAGATAAATATTTGTTTTAATATATTAAAACTGCTTAAAATAATAAAATAATATCCTGTTTTCCCGACATATGGTATTAAGAGACACCGGTTCAATCATTGTACAATCTTACAGGGAGGGACTTGGTGTAAAACACACCACATAGAGAGAATGAACAGAAAATAGCATTGCAGATTTTATCGTGTCCCAAAGACACACGATGTCAACTCCTCAAAAGGATCAGTAAAAAAAAAGGGTATGACAACCAATGAACACAGACAATCCCCGGCATTGTTTCGTTTACTGACAGACAATCCCCAGCATTGTTTCGTTTACTGACAGACACTGTTGCTTTTTGGAAGAGATCATCCCTTCTGGTTGACATAGCACTAAAAGACTAACATCTAGCGATTCCTTTCAGGGTTGTGATTTATTGCCCCTAAGAAACACACCAGGACAGCGAGAGATTTTCGAGAATTTCAGGAGGAACCGTCTACAAGCTGGCACTATAAAGCTCACAGGCCGAAAGTTTGAAGATTTTTTAAGACATTGAATGCCACAACTGTGGTATGAAGATAAATCACAACAGATTTTATGATCCTTGATTGACGATAGTTTTTGCCGTCTATAAAAGTTACACAAAGTTAAGGCATTTGTGGATTACTAGACATTTAATGTAGCTTCATGATGATCACACATCTACAGTATTGCAGAGTTTATTTCAGAGAAAAAAAAATCAAACTTATTTTTTTTTCTCTCATTTCATATAAAAACCAACAGTAACTGCTTTATTTTCTTTCCTGAACAAGAGGCCCAAAGGACCAGTATCAGTCACCTACCATTTGTTTCACATATGACATTTAAATATGGTCAAAGTCAAGTTTATTAGACTAAATGTTGATTTTTGTTGGATTTTTTTTTTATACACTACATGGCAAACTTTACGAATCTTAGTTGGAAGAATTATTTTACTAGACAGGCTTTCAAAGTCGATCGGTCTAGGCCATTCATTCATATCGCATGCAATAGGCCTTCAGCAAATTTGACAACTGTGAACATAAAAGTGGGTCAAGGTCATTAATTTGAGCAAGCTTGATCAGGTTGATGGTCCTAAGAAGTAATTTTTAAGGTTTTAACACGTTTGACTGCTGTGACTTCAAAATTGGGTCAAGGTCATTATTTAAAACAATCTATACAACTTTTCATCCCAACATGCTATTAGCTAAAAATCATCATAATGTCATTCATTCATTTATAATATTCCCCACTATATATATAGAGGCCCCAAACAAATTTTGACAATTATGTACCTGAAAGTGGGTCAAGGTCATTTATCTGAACAAACCTGATAGTCCTTCATCCCAGCATGCTATTTGGTTATTCAGAAAGAAGTAATTTTTAATGTTTTAATGCATTTGACTCCTGTGACCTCAAAATTGGGTCAAGGTCATTAATTTTAACAGACTTGATTAACTCTTCATTCCAACATGCTATTGGCTAGATATCATCATTCTTTAACCCAAGGCCTCTTGTATTTGGTTATTAAGATGACTTTTAAAGGTTCTAACAAATTTGACCCCTGTGACATGGAAAGAGTGTCAAACTCATTCACTTAGAGACACTTTATTGCCCTTCATCCCAGAATTCCATTGACCAAATATCATCATACATCACCACAAGCCATTAATTTATGCAGAATTTTCATAATGCAACAGGAAGCAACATTATTTTTTAGGTCTTAACATTTTCTTGTATTTTCAATATTTTCTTTCATGTTTTTCCAATATTGGAAACAGGGAAAGGTTGCAAACAGTGATTCACATTTGGGGCCAAAATTCTGTCCCGGCTTCCCATAGTTAAAGCTCAAAAATCAGTACATATATTTTCCTCAAAATTTATTTCTTGGAAAATAATAAGTGTGTTCTGTATGACCTGAAATAATGCTTTGACAATGTTCTGATCGTAGCATTTTGTCAGAACGCGCATGATGTTTTTCTCAATTTTGTGAAAATACAGCAATATTTTCTCAATACGAAAGGCATAGACCCCTGGTGAGATTTAAAGACAGTCGAGAAGTCACTGGCATCATTATTTCAGTAAATTTTCGTATACCTAATACATACATTACATTCATAACCCTTTCAACACCTTAGACCATAATGGGCTCATCCAGATCAATTTATGGTAGAGGTTATTAAAGTTACATAGGGGTGAAAGGGTTAATGTTCACTGCCCTGTTATTTGCCTTACCAATAACATCAATCACATTTTTTATTGATAATTATAACAACGGTAAAATTCTGTACAAATACATTTTCCACGGCTATCATTTATTACTCAGTGTTCATACTTCAATGTAGGTTAAGAAACCTCTGGTATCACAATTTCAGAATCTTTTTGCAACATTTTGATACTGTGTTGACTTTTGTCATCACTAATGGTGTGGTTTAATATATATTTTTCCATCGATATGTGTTACATTTGTACCACCAAAAAGATGGATTACAGAGCTTTCTGAAGAAAACAGCGACTGCAGTAACTAAAACCAATGTTGAAACTTCCAATAGCACACAGCATGGCCACTGATCTTATGTTTCTTATTGGTTTTGTTCTAAATTCAGTCAAAACATGGGAATTTCAAAATATGAAAAAGGGGATTGCAACATATTGCATGAATCCCCGCCGCTAAATTATAGCCTCAACTCACAGAATCACAAATCAATTATAACCCACTTACATAATACTCAACCTTCCCATGATAGACACGCATACCAAGATTGATCTCAGGAGAAAAATTATTGGTGATTATATGCATGCTCCAGACAAGCAGTATCTCAGATTTTGTACTTTTAGTAAGGTCAATGGTCAAAAT